TAAGTTAGTAATAAAGTTCTAGGGAAAATATATTTCTATTGGACTTCAGGTTTAATACAATGATGGTCCCTTTATCCTCTAATCAAGATCTTCATGCCCAATCGAACAAGAAATGCTACCGCCTCCGCCTCCTCCACCGTCTTTTAGGAGCCCAGCAACTGACGCCAGCTCAACTCCACAAGCGCCGGTTGTCCCTGAGAGTTCTTCCGCTGGAGGCCTGTTGCTAGAGTTGATCAAACACAATGGTGCTCCTTTCAACGATCACTGGGCTTACTTTGTTCGATCGAGCTCGAGCCCTTCTGTGGGGATCGTGTATGAGGCTACTGGCGATGTTCGCAACGGCTTCCAACGCCAGATCCGGAGAAATCATGACCTGAATTCTGATCCACCCTCAACCCGCATTCCGCTCCAATGGATTGATGCCACTTTTGTTAACGAAGAGTTGATGCTTCATGCGCAAGAGCCGATCCCGGTCTGCACCTTTGAGGAAAGCCTATATAAGGTCAAGGTACCCGAGAAGACACTGAATAATGCGACTGAGAGTGTATGTATTTAACTTGTCATTGATATCAGAAGGCTCAGGGTGAAAAGATTCTGACTAACAGATTGACTGTCCATAGGAAGCCCCCAAGAAAAGAATCGTACAAAGGAACTGTCAGACATGGATTGTTGAATCGGCGGATCAACTGGTTGCGGATGGCATTTTCCTATCGAATATCGCCGCCTACCTTCATGCCACCAAGCAAGTCTAAACCGGTTCCAGAGTGGTTCACTTGAGCCGGTCTTGTCAGGTTTTTCATAAGGAAGTCAAACTGAGTGTCGCGGGGAACAGTTAATACCAACCAGAGTGGATGTATAATTCAGAAGACCTTCAAGTCTAGACTAACGTTGTGAACCTTTTGCCGCAAGTCGCTATCCTGATCAGATATGCTGGTGGCTGACGTGTGAAGCTGTTGGAATAGTCCCGTGATGCTCCTCTTTGCAGTGAATCCCTACGGAGTCCGTTCCACTGGTCCTACGGCGTTGAGGAGAGTGGTGACAGTTAGCGCGCGCCTGGTCTGACCACCAGTAAGTGAGTTAAGACTGAGAAGCCACTTAGTCTGACCTATAGGCCAGTGCTTTGTCAAAAGCTAAAGGAATTTGCCTAAACAGGCCCGTACTTCAATGCAATTGACAATAATATATATATGCGATAGACCCACGAGCATGATGCACGTCAAGATTCCTAATCCTACTATCAAGAGCTAGCATCATGTCTACAACCTACAACCATACGCTCTTCCTCTGGATCGAAGGCTACTTTCCAAAGCGGATTGCTTATTATCTTCTCTCGAAGGGCATATGCTCATCTGTCGAGCAGCTGTATGATGGGAAGACCAACGAGAGCAATTTGAAAATCGTGCCCATCACTTTTACTGGCGATGGCTTTGTTTCTGAAGACCCCGAAGAGCCTTTACCACCTGGCACCAGAGTGCCCGCACTTCGCCTCGATGACACCGGAAGCGACAAATCCATCTGGATCCATGAGACGTGGAGCATTATTAACTATCTGGAAGAAGTGTTCGATACCAATAACTACCGACAAATGTGGGCTACGGACCCTATCGACAGAGCCATCACTCAAGACGCCCTCAGCTACATCGCCCTCGCCACAGACGCCGGGCGAGTCTGGCTCATTAATTGCGCTCCATACATGGCTGCATTTTGGAACATTCCCGATTCTGAGCTCAGTCTCCCCGTCGGACGTCGCGCCCGACGTGAAGTCGAAGAGCACTTCAAAACACTGCAGAATGTGTGTGCTGACAATCTTACCTCAACGGGCTGGCTTACGCCCGCGGCTGACGGAGGTCCGGGCTTGGCTGACGTGATGCTCGCCGCGACGGTGAGACATACGGAGTTGAGCTGGAGTGAATTTATCCTGGAGGATGAAGAGCTTGGGAGGTTGAGGGAGTGGTATGAGAAGTTTAAGACGGTGAAGTTTTGGTATGAGTTGGAGGAGACGGGGCGGTTCCCTAATAATGCGAAACGTGGTGAGGGATCTGTTCGGAAGTAGTTGAAGAGATCGAGCCGTAATTTGCGAGTTACTTGATCTGACTTATTGCAGCCCTGTACGTGAGCCCGTTTGATGGTGTTCGCAATTGAGTATGCTTTTCCAAGCGGAATACTGTCGCGGTTAGGCGTCCTACATCTGAAAGTGAGTCTTAACACGCACTAAGCGTATCACGATACGGCATTTTCCCATGACAGGCTATTCTTCATTGACCCTCAACCCCGAAGAATGACATCAGGACCCACCAAGCGTAACGAATGTTGAAGCTTTCAAGGCAGTTGAAGCGGAGATTATGCATGTCTTCCACCGTCGATGCAACGGCATGTAACTGGCGGGATCCGCAGCTTCCGGCTTCTGAAGATACGCGCTAGCTCTCAGCGGTAGCTGCCGTGTTTAGGTACTTGAAGACCCATCCTCGCCTGAGACCCCTCTTGAAGCTTGGATATCTTCTCCTCTTTCATCAACCGCACCCCAACAACATCAATTAAAATGGCCAGAACGACGTTAACTCACATCCCCCTCGCGTACCGCATCCTCTTCCTCTGGTTCGAGCCACTCGCCGCATTTGGCGGGTCCTTTGTAATCTGGTTCGCTCCCGAAATGTTTCTCAACACAATGACCCCGACCGCCAAATTTGCACCCGACAATCGAGTTATCTACAATCAGGTCGCGGCGACATACACGCTCTTTGCCTATAACGAAGCGATCCTTCTCCGCGCTACCAACGATCTTCGTGTTTGGAGGACTGTACTGATCGGGATCCTGATCTGTGATGCGCTACATTTGTATTCAAGCTGGCTTGCGATTCCTGACGTGTTCTGGAATCCTGCGGCGTGGAGATGGGAGGATTGGGTCAATTTGGGGAGTTTGTGGGGGCAGGGCGCTGTGAGGATCGCGTTTTTGATGGGGGTCGGTTTGCAGGGAAATACTCGGGTCAAGGCGGATTGAGGTCAATTGATCAAGATATGAGAGCGATGAGGCTCAATGCGATGGACCAAGAGTGAGGCATTACAATCTTGGGCAATCTGGCCAGAACCTTGATGATGGACACCCTGGTCACAGCGGCACGGCACAGTCGGCAATTGATGGCCCGAAAAGTGTCAATGCTCAGAAGGTGAGCAGCTGAGAGTCACTGTACCATTGTCGCTTCAAGTCGATGCATTCAACCTGAGGATTTAAATACGACATAGGAATCATCATGTCAAGCAATCGAGTGTCGATTTGATGTCGAGATTTTCCCTGCTTCTTCCATTTCAACCGCTATCTCGAGTTCCGCAGAGCAAAAGAGCCGCACTACTGCTTCTCAATCGCTATTCTCTAGGGTAGTACTCCGTAGACTTAAGTTAAGTTAATGCATAACGCAAAACGAGTACCACGTTCTCCAATCCCGTGAAGTCGCCCCCTTCATTCGATACCTTCAATTTCCACTCAAGGTCCGTGTCATTTAACTTAGTGTTCAATGGCGACAAGGTCAACATCGTCGCATTTCCCAAACGAACGGGATCCCAATCTTTTCCCTCCCCCAAAGCAGTAATTGAAAACAATTTCTGGACCAATTTGCTCTTGGTCACTTTGCCCGAGATAACAAGGCTCAGGCTAGTAATGGTGATGTTTTTACCCAGCGCCCAATAGGGAAACCTGTCCTTAAAACCAGATAGGTCCAGCTCTGCAATAGTTTTGCTGGCTAGGCCTGACCGGAACGCGTACCATGCGTTACTAAAGTCGTTTTTGAGATCAAACATAGCAAAGAGACCAGGCCCTTCTGAGCTCAGGCCTCCAACACGAGATCGGAAAGTCTTGACAGCTTGATTGGCAGCATTGCGGAGCAAAGGTCCGCCGTCTACTGCTGTATAACGAACATGGAGAATAACGTCCGAGATCGTGGAGTAGTCGAAAGAACGAACAACCGTGGGGAGCTCAAGGGACCAAGAACCGATCGCACCAGCACCTTCGAACGGTTGGAAGCGGTCATCCTTGAAGTTGAGCTCGAATACACCAGAGTCCTGGATACCCGAGCTGATGGCTACTGACGTGATAGGTACGATGTCTGTACGGAAATGCCCTGATGCCATGCCGTCCTCGGCGTAGTCTTCTCCAGAGGCTGCCACAGAGCTAACACGGTAACGGTGCTGAAGAAGACGTAGAGTTGCATTCAGGCCAGTGTAAGGGCCGACCACGCATGGAACAGATAGCGAGACCGACTTGATGCGCCGCATGTAATGACCTGGGAAGTCAAAGTCATAGAGAACCTCAGGAATGTCAAAGGTGACTGTACCGTTTGCTCTAAGATTCAGCAAAACTTCAGGGTTGAGTTGCCTGAGCGAGATATTCTTGACTATTTCATAGTCATACGAAGCTCGCTCAAGATATGCTGCCTCCATACGTCGCAGATCTGCTTGCAGCTGCTGCGCTGCGAGGAGACCATCATGACTGCTGTCCCAATAACCACCAGGTCGCAAGAAACCTTGCACTGACGCTCCTTTCTCGAAGCGGAACGCGTTCTGGGCACGGCGTGCAAGGTCTGATGCAAGCTGATATAGGTCATAATGAACATTGCGGATCGTGTTCTCCATCCAGCCGTAGAGCTTCTCGTTTGTGTACTTGGATTGATACCACTGCTCCATCTCAACTGCATTATCTATCTCTGCTTGCTGGATGGACGTTTCCTTCTCATTGAGCTCTAATCGCTTTCTTTGGATCTCTCTCTGTTTGTCGAGCGATTTTATCTCCTGGCCCTTCATGTTCGCTTGGAGTCGCCTCTCTTGTAGCTGCTTAGTGAGAGAGTTTGTGCGCTGAGCATCGGCCGCGATTGTGGATGCTACCATGGAGCCTGTTCTGATGGTCAGGGATGAAGCCTGCAAAGCAGAAGCTATGTTTGAGCCGTCCATCTTCATGGATGCACCAACGCCCATGGGTTCGACGTTGGCCGTTACTTGTGGTAGAGCCTTGAGTATCAGCGCCCCAACCTCTATGGCTGAAGCAGCAAGATTCAACTTATTTGCCACTTCTGTTACTTTCATCTCCTGATATTCCAGTCGGTTCATGCGCAGGTCGTCTGTGAGTGGTGCTTCAATCGCCTGCTCGATGTCCACCCACTTATCAGCCTCGCCAGGTATGCGGCTCATTGGCTCGCCTATGAGTCGTAGGTAGTAGCTCAATTGAGCTGCAGCAGAAGATCTGTTCATCTCCAATAGCTCAATGTTTCTTTCAATCTCGTCCCTCTGCAGGCGTTTGAGACTTATGGAGAGTCTCTGTCTAGCCGTGTCTTGTTTTGCTTTCAGGATCTGCAGGGCTTCTGAGTCCTTCTTTTCCTTGGCCTGTAAAAACTGATCTCCCATGCTCTGAAGACTGGTACAAATGTCCAGTGCTTTGGAAATGAGATATTGGAACCTCTGGTTCGGCATTGGGCCATCGATTTCATTCAGAAGAGACGTCACTCCACCTCCACCACCTTGCAATGCTCGGCCTATTTGACCTGGATCGATACTAGCCTCGTTCATGGCATAAACGAGTGGTCGCCCGTTGATATCCATATTGTTCCTAGCCTTGTAGAGTCGGTCGCTGACCAATGATCGCATTGTCTGGTACTTTGGATTCGCTGGTAGGCAAAAGTATGTCGTTGTCAGGATTCCCAAGACACCATATCTGTCCTGCTCGTCGTCTTCCGATCGCCTTGTCCCTCGTCTCTCAACATCACACAGAAAAGGAAAGGTGAGCTCAAGATCGATCCGCATTTTGCCCATTTTGTTCAAGGTGTCGTACGTCTTGACGGCTGGCTTGCCAAGCTTGGGCATCTTGGGTGGCTCTGGGCCGAGGACATGTGCTGCCTCGATGTAGCGCTGGATCGCCATGGGCAGAGATTCAATGCTCCCTTGGCGGAAGTACTCATCACCAGCAGCGATGAGTGTTTCAATATACTTCATGACAATCCATTTCATGTATGCCCTTGGCCGTGTTCGTGCTGTTGCATGTGTGTTGGATGGGTTGCGTCTCCTTTCCGTCACTGCAACGTCAAGTGTAGACTCGTCCAGCCAACCAGTGAAATTGTCTTGATTTTCAGTCGGGTCGCCAGCTATATCTCTAAACGGACGGAACCTCCAACATGCTGTCTTCCCTTGCTTTCGAGTCTGTCCTTGAACGTCCACTGTCGGATCAAATACAAGCCTTGCCACGCGAAGGGCAAGGTCGTATTGCTGAGTGGCCAGGAATCTATCCATAGCAAGAAGAACACAATGCGCACCTAGTTCCCAGTTATAGAGGGCATATGAAGTTGCCTGTTCGTGGTATTGGGACACGTTTGCTTCAACTACAGCCTTTCCATATTCTCTCTCGTTCATCTTGTCCATTGTCTCAAAGAGTGGCCCCAGACTGTCTGTCTTTGTGATATCCTGCATAAAGGTCGGGGAGGAGGAATGCTCAATAACCTCAGTCATCGAATTCCGTACCAGATTTGACGACGCAAGCTCGACCTTGTTCCTCTTGACGTAGGCAAGCTTTGGGTACATAAAGGTTGTCTTGCCATCTGGTGCCGATACCTGTACATCGACAACGTACCCAGTAGTTTTAGCGAGTGTGTCATTTCCATCATATGACATGGTCCACACAAGGGTTCTTGAAGAGGTTGGAACCGGAACAGCTAGCAACGGAGAAGTGACCTGGTCTCCTTTGAATAAAGCAACTTGTTGCCCGGGAGTCTCGACCCGATCGTCGTCAAAAGTCTTACGACTCTCCCAACTTTTCGTCCAAGTATGCTTATGAAACACTGTCTCTAGGGTCCTGTTTTCAGACTCGGACTGGGTTTGGCTTTCTTTCACAGTTGCGCGGTCATCGCTTATCTGGAAGGATCCAAGGAATGAGTGATTAGCTGCATCTGTTGCTGCGACACTGTTCCCAGTGACTTTTTCCTTTCGCCAGCATCCCACATTGATAGTGACTGTTTCCCCAACAGGACCGGTCGTATTTGCCCAGAAGGTAAAGCGTGAAATGGAAGGGAGCTTTTCTTTATCGAATCTGTTATCCCAAACCACATTCAGTACCGGTTGTGATACACGCTTGGGTGTCCATTCTCCGTTCAATAGTTCAGTCCATGCCATCCTTATCTCCCAATTATTGGGCGACTTCGTTGTGTTCAATGACTTGCCCGCGGCTTCACCGAATGTTAAACCGCCCACTTTTTCTCCCTTTGGGGTCTCGGGAGTCAGCGTTTTGACCATTATTTCCGGGATATAAACAATCAAGCGATTGCCACGCATAACGGGAATCAAGTAAGCCCCGGGATTGGCAACGCTGGAACCATCCCAGTCGGCCTCGTATGTGACAGATCCAATGTCCATCAAAGCCCACGGTGTCCACAGGGCCACATCACTTGGCTGCGTAAGCCTCATGTTACGGTAGTAGAAGCGATATGGTGTGCTGCGTGTTTTGCCAAAGAAATGATACGTCTCCAGCCCCCCAGTCGGATGATGTCGTAGATATGCTTGAATATCGAGATCTGCAATCTCTGAAAGTCCCTTGACGTAGGTACGGATAGCTTGTGCAAATGTATCCCAGCTCAGGTCCTTCTGCATAATAGTTGATTCATAGTCTCCAAACAAAACAGTCTTGTCGTCACGCAGGGTTGGATCAATCCAATTCTCTGGGTACAAGAATGCCTTGCGTGTAGCTGTCCAAATGTTGTGCTTGTGCATCCACACCCACTTGATCTGGTCTATGTTGCTTGGTTGTACACCAGCTTCAGTTTCCATGCCGAGGAGACATCGTTGTACGTATAGCTGAACGGTCGAGATGGCCTGCTTCATTCGCGTAATCTCAAACTGGGAGCCCATCTGAACGTCGATCAACAGCAGATCAAACAAGCCTCCCGCATCTGAGATCTTGGATTTCTTGATATATGGCTGTTGCAGCAAATACTCGATGAAAACTGTTCGCTGGGTCTCTTGTAGCTGTGAGGTACATGACTTGAGTTGTCGTTTACCAAGCAACAAGACCATTTCGCTGGCGACCTCCCATTGTTTGGCAGAGCCTGGAAGTGCGGGAGTGGCGAATTTGAAAAGACTTATGATGGGGTTCTCGCCGTCTTGACTCGAGTTGGGCCTCAGGGCGCCGGAGACTTCCATGATAGCGTTAATGGTCATCAGATCGCCAAGGCTCGCAGCAGCTCCGATGATATCAGCCGCCTTAGCACCCTCATAGTCATACTTGGTCTTAATCAAAGTCGACAACTGCGCCTCGGGCCACGTTGTCGCAGCTATGAGTTGAGAAGTCAAGGTTGAAGAGCTGTCAGGGTTTTCTAGCCATGCAAACAATCTGACTAGAGAATCCTTTTGTTTAGCGATTCCATCTCTCAGTTGCCGATAGCTTTGTAACCTCGCAATGTCGTTGATGCTCAGTGAATTCAGATCGATAGATATTAGCCCATTGGGAGTCGTCAGGTATTTCACTTCCTCCAGGCTCAGCTCTAGCTTTCGGAACAACCAGGCCGAACGACCAATTTCTTTGAGTACTGTATCAGCTTTTTGGACGTTGTCTTGGGTGATGAACGTAGTATCAGTGAGGCGTGCTGGTACCGTTTGCTTAGTAGCCCACATGACATCCATGGGTTGTACAGGTGACACTAGTAGGTAGGTCTGTCCGGTTGTCATAAGAATGGGATCTGAATACCACTCTGTAGTGGTTTTCTTCAATGCCATCTTGGCCCCATTGACACTCAGATAGACATCCATAACAGGGTTTGATGGCCGTAGACTGAATATGTACTCTCCTGTAGCTGTGGGTAGAAAGTAGCCCTGCGTCTTCGGGGGTTTATCTGCTGAAAAGCCACGTATGTCTTGTAGAATGTCGATAGCTGACTTCTTCTCTTCAGACGACGTTTCTTTGCTTAGAAGCATGGGGATGAGAGTGTGTTCGATGCCTTCAAGCCTCTCACTGATGCCTCTAGTAGCAAGGTCAACCAAGGTTTGCGATCGCAATATTGGCAACATCAAATTGACGAACGCAAGTCGCCTGGTGCGCAAAGCCTTTTCCTTCTCGACTCCAGCTGATTCAAGTGCTAAGGAGTTCTCAGTGAGAGTCTCGTCCGACTCACTGCCTTCTGACTCACTATCCTCTTCTTCCTCTGAGCTGGTGCTAAGCGATTCGTCCGACAGACTGGCAGAATCCGTGGTATTCAACCTTAAACCACTACACATCAAGTCGGCAATAAGCTTCTTTTGCCCTATGTTCCCCTCATCCGAGAATCTTGCTATCAAGGCATTATACGAAATCCTGGACAGCTTGTCAAGTTCTCGGATGGCGTCGGCAAAGGCCAAAGAATCCCCAACCTTTCTTAGACTTTCTTCTTCCTCTCGTTCTGTCAGTATCCCTCTGAGAGTTACAACAGCTGTCTGGGTCTTATTTGTCTTTCGATTGACGTCAATACTTAAGTTGGAGGGAAGACCGTCAAAGCTGGGTAACGATTTCGAAGGCTCCAAATTGATAGTCTTATTGACCACAAAATCACCTGTTTAGCTTTTAATTAGCACGTTGGCATAGACATGATTTCCTCAAAAACAAACCTTCAACTATCTGTGCCAGGCTCTTGGAAGTTGCAGCATCGAACAATTGGCCGCAAAGATCCATAACATCCCGCGAAGTAACAAGGTTGTTTTGTATGCGAGGCTCCCAAAAGATTTTGATGGAATTGAACTTCTCCATGATAGACCCAGTGAACTGAAGGGTGTGATCAGCAAATGGGATGTTGGAGCATTCGGTCTTGCCAACGAGAAGCATAATGTCGCTCGTTGACCAGCCGCCATCAGTCAACTGTTTCCATAGTGAAATACTCTCCATAGTTGTCTTTGGATTAACGAAGATGTTTCTATCAGGAAATACTGAGAGAATCATATCGTAGTCCTTTGGGCGCACTGCAAAAAGTCGACACATAAGTGTGTGGCGGTACATCTTGGACAGCGTCTCCAATTCGAGTGCTGAGGAAGGGTTCAATCCGGCAATGGCCAAGATGATGTTCAAATCCTCCGAAGTTGTCTTCAGAGTCATAGTCAGAGGTGCCATATATGTTTCAATGGCACCTTTGTCCCTCAGATAACTGCCGCCAGAATCTGGTCTGAAAACTGTATCATTACTAAGGTAGCTCATGGGTTCGAGGAACACCTTTCTGTACAAGGAGTTGTCGCCATGGGTGCTAATCGGAGCCCAAATTGGAAGAAGTGACGCTACAGATACTTGCGTTAACTTACTCAACTTGGCGATTTGAGCAATGTCTTCAAGAACCGATAGCGTGATACCTCTGAACCCTTCGACTGATGAAATAGTACTGTTGGCAATGTGGTTCTGAGTAATCGTCGAGATCACAACATCTAGGTCGGCAATAGTCCACCCTAGCTTATTTCTCAGGCGGATGAAACCTTGCAATTCATGACATATCTCTTGTGTCAGGTTGCCAATAATAGGGGAGGCTTTAGAAGAATCTCCCTTCCCGGAACCCGATGTATTGTCAAGAAGTCGAAGTCGCATTTCCGACAGCTGTCCATCAAATACTTTGGAGCCTCTGCTATTGACGATGACTAGTCTTCTACCAAAAAAGGTGGTGTTCAAAAGCTCCAAGAGCTCCTGGAGTGACAGTCCTGAGCGTGGGAGAAGCTGATCCCGTATGAAACACAGCCCCGAAAGAGTTTGCTCGGAAGTGTCAAGCATAGCGTCAACATCGTCGTAGCCCCAGCATTCGTAGACCGTGGGAATTGAACTATCTCGTAGCTGTGCCTGCCGTGCCGAGTCTTCTGGGCAAAGGCCTACCAGGAGATCTAGGAAGGTGTCTGTAAAAATGGTCTCTTTACAAACAGCAGCAAAGTCACGGGGCAACATATGCAGGGTCTCGGCGACGTCGAATCGATGCCACACGGCTTCTGCCTCTTTTTCCAGCGCCTCCCGTGATGCTAAGTCGCTTGGAATGAAGTTGACAAGTTGTCTCAGCATGAAGGTGGTTGACTTGAAATTTGCCCGTACATCTGAAGGCTCGATTCCCATTGAAGACAGATAGACTCTGACCGAGTCTTCGCCTAGGCTATATGGAAATCGGTTCAAAGGAAACATAGCCTTCGCAATTTTGCTATCGCATGTAGCGGCTACTTGCTTCTCTTCCTCGCTGACCTGACCTTGAGATGTTGAGGGATAGTCTTCATCAACGGCACTGATGAATCCTCCCTCACTGGCGATATAGGATGCCAAGATTTCGTTGACGATAGTAATATAGGGCACCATATCCTTGCTATTTGCGCACGACAACTGCAGCCTTTGCAAATCAGGACGTCGAAGAGCCAAAGCCTTTAACACATTGTCAGCGCCTTTGACAGTCTTTGAACAGCGGCTGTGTTCCAAAAACTTGAGCAGGTCAACAAAATATGCCGAGGCGCTAACAACAGAGCAGCACTCTTCGCATGGAGTATCTTGTAGATCAAAGATGCTCGTCATGTTGAAGTCCTTCTTACTACCTCCCTCATAGGGCTTGGTAGCATCTTCGTCAGGCGGCGTCGGCCGGATGATCTCTGGTTTCCCGACATCTGCGATAGCTTTTTCGGTGGCCATGAAGTCTTCGTTAATCATGGTAAGCAGGTTAACCCAGGTTTCTTGACTCCTGCAAGCGACTACAACCGCATGGTCGTGGATCCTGAGTGCAGACTCCTCATCGAGACGCTTCTTCATGCTCTGGATAAACTCCTTTCTGCTGCTGGAAGCGATATCCTGCGCAGACTCAAATTTGAGGTCTATGAGGTGTTTTATGTGTTGTGGCTCTGTAACCAGATACTGTAGTCGTTGTAGTGCCATGATTCTGCCAAGTATTGTCTCACGATTGATCTTACGGCTTCCTTCAATAGAGTCGAAGGATCCCTCGGAACTGATTTTCTTCCGAAAGGTATCAGAGCCGATCGGCACGTCATTTTCCATGGCCCATTCTAGGGCAAAAGCAATGATGTTTTTCCATGGCCTTTCGAACTGGATTTCATCTGCCTTTACAGAAGCAAGGAGTACAGCCACTGGCTCCCTCAGCATAAGATGAGATATGAATCGCACGAGAGTATCCCTATTGTTGTATGGTAGGTCTTTCTTACAGTAACTCTCAATTGCGACTTTGCTGAGGCTGCCTGGAGCTGGGAATTGTTGCAGCAAGTAACATGCCAGTGACTGGTCCTCTTGCGCCGCGTTGAATATCTCTCTCATCCATTGAAGGGATTTGATATGTCCTAGGCTTAGACCGCCCTGTCCAATAACCGATTCGATAACACGAGTGATGCTTTCCTGCTTGTTAATGGCCGTCTGAACTCGAACTACCAACGCCTCATTTCCACGAAACATGGACGCAATTAAGGCCGCGGCTTCATCCTTTTTCTTTGGGCTTTGCGACATGGTTACAGAAGCACCAGTCACGACAAATTGGTAGAACAAGACCGAATAGAAGAAGTTCGATATAACTTTGAGATGGTGCAGCACGAAATGGTCTTGCAAACTCGTTTTTTCGCTTGATAGGATGTTTCTCTCTAGCATCCCCTAATGTCAGTCCAAGTGCTGGTCGGCCGTAGCCGCCACCAAAATTCTGTCCGACGCTAGGAACTTCGGCTACCAGTCGCCTTGCGTGTGAGGTCCGAGCACTCGCAGGCGCGCTATCGGTTCTGCTAATGTATTGCAGTGGGGGGCCTACAGCATGCAATGTAGTGGATTTCAGGTCATGGGTCGTCCGTATTTGGCTTTTCAGCTCTGCTCATAACGTTCTAGACTTTGTTGCGTATGGTTGCTGGACATGTATCGGTACATTGTCTTGGGCGGCTTGGTCGATGGACAGATCCGAGAACTTTCGGTCGTTGAAGGCCCCTCAGTAGAAGCAACCGCCGTTAGCAGAGCAAAACGACCCAGATAATACAACATCAGTTTTCGTATCTATCGGTAGGCATCAGGCGGTTACGACAAGGCCAGTATTGAACGCAAATATGGCCACTGGACCCCGAACCTACCGTTACCAGTTCGCTTTATGTACTGGTAACGACGACAGCGAATACTACGACCAAACTACTGCATTGTCACAAGCTTTGATCAACCGGAGCTTCCGTCACCTTTTTGAGAATACTGAAGGAGTTGCCGGAATTGATCACTTCGATGATGCTGCCGGCGACAGAATCTTTGGCGTGCTTGATGCGCCGACACTTATGTTGATTGGTCACACGGTTGATGAGAGCCTGGCCTACTACCAGCTTCGGTCTGTCTCTATTCCAGTCTTTGTGGTTGAATGTTACTTACCTATAGTAGAATCAAGGAAGCCAATGTTGTTTTTCGAAATGGCCAGACACGGACCCTTTCCCAATGGGCTCTGACCGTCAAGGTCAACTTGAGCGAAGTCTCTTTGGAGATCCAACCATCAGAAGATGAAGAAACACGCAAGAACAAGGAGTATTGGAAACAGGATATCGCGAGAAGATATCCTGGCCTTGAAGTTGGCGACTATCGTGCTCAGCGCATCTTTGCCAACTTTTCGGGTATGTTCACCCTTTCTTTACCATTCATACAAGTGAGCTGATGCTTGGTGCTATGAAGCTGCTCAATGGAAGAAACCAATAGAAGAACGAAGTACGTGCTTTGACCAAAAGGCAAAGAAGACCATAGCACTCCAAGAATGGAAAGATCAAGCTGAGAACTCCGGTTACTTTTATCGCATTATGGATCTCATCGATGGATGGGCTAAAACACAGGCTCATGAAGGCTTATCAACCTTGGGTATCAAGTTTTCTTTATATCAGGACCCCGGTGAGCACTTCTGTTCCATTAAACTGCTGTATACTGACATTTAATAAAAAAAAAAGATGAAATTAAGCGACCAACCTTCAGTAAGTTCAATTTTCCCTTGGGCTCGCTTCAAATGAATGCTGATGTGTCTCGCAGAACCGATGTTACAGCACATTCAGGTCTATCCATACAAAAGCCAAAAGTGCCCTAATGGAACAACGGCCATCAGAGATCCATCGAAAATAACTCAGGAAGCGCCTTTCGGAGATCTTGTTCATGGAGACTTCAACTGCTTGATGTTCTGTGAAAATGTGGATACAAGCTGGAACGTGCCTGGTAAGTCCACCAATTCCATCTTTCGCTCCCTTCCCCAGAAGAAGCATATGAGTCACTCCTATAACATGGCCTGTCCCGTCTCAGATGATGATCCGAAACTCCCAGATTTGCTCGGTACCTTTGCCATGGACTATAGAGTCGTCATGCACCGCTATCTTCTTCCTGCGCTCGAGGATCTCTGCCTTGCTACAGTGGTCAAGATAGAGGAGCCAGAACGTACGATTGCGGTGCCGGATATAGCATTCAACCCCCGCTATACTATCGGCTGTCCACGTACCGAGAGAGAGCTGAATAGCTCGCCTGATACCGATATCAAATTCACGAAGCTGTCAGATCGTCATTATCAATGGATAGTGAGAGATAGCAAAGGAGAGACAGGGCATCGCTTCACAGATGGCCCTTACAGCTATCACCGCGACAGGTATAATTCTTATCAAATTGATACTGAATCTAAAGTCGAAGTTGAGTGGGCGACTGGACAGTCCGCTATGGTTATCTCCGCGTCCGTCTCCTATAATTATAATTGCGCCTTTGCCAATAATAAGGAAATGACGGATCAAGTGGATAGTGTCAAGTATGAAGCATTCCTTTGCTCCCAACACAGCCCAACCGAGCTGACTGAGCATACAGGTACAATGTCATTGCTAAGTCATTTTTCAGTCTTGGACTCCAGCCTGTCGACCTTGATTACCTTGTCATCCTCCCCCAAATCAAGGGCCTCAGCAGAGAAGATGCTCAAAATATCAAATATGGCGCTAATAAGAGTCCCTCTGACCTCCCCGCTGTCTCCGATGGTGACTTGAAAATCACATCTTTCCCCGTCTGCATAACAGCAACAGGGAAAGGGCGCGATGATAGCGAGTTTAGGCTGAAGACGGATCTCGAAAAGTCACTAAGGATAGGGATTGAAAGGTTCACTAGCAGAGTCGACGAACATTTCAGGTGGGGAAGAGGAAAGTTGATATTCCCCGGGCACGGGAATCTACTGCTCATGAACCCCAAATTCACAAAGTTCGGCGGCATTGTTGCTGACGTCGGTCTGCGGTAAGCATTTAGTGTACGTGTACTTGGATATACGGTTGTCTAACATTTCATACTAGGCGAAATGAACCCAATGGGACAATGTCGTTTCCTAAACCCGGGCCAAGTCCTCCCTCTGGGGACAAAGGACCAGGTCCACAAAAGCCTTCCCCAGATGTCCCTAAGCGAAAAGAGGAAAATGACCTCAAACTCAGTTGGGATCATCAAGTCTCTTACAACCCACAATCAAAGATCGGCCGACTATCATTACGAGCTCTTAACAGCAAGAAGGAAGATTTGAGCTTTCACTTCATTCGCATCAGCCTTTTAACATCGACGTCAACCCATACCCGCCCGTTTGATGACACAGAATGGAGCAAAGCACCGGATGCCAAAGCCTTGGACGTACTCTTCTCACATGGCAAGTACACATATGTGGACTCTGATTCCAAGGATCCTCCGTTGGAAGTGGAATTACAAGGCAATGTCTATCAACTTAACAAGAGCAAAGGATGGTCTACAAACGTTCCTGCACTGGAGGTCAAGTTAAACAGAGACAGAAATGCTAGAGAGATGCAGGCTTCTATCCAAGGTCTCAAAGGCACTGACTTTAAAGTTCCAAAAGGTCAAGAGTTTACATTAGAGCTACAAGGTGAAATCCAGGAATTAGGGAGATACATGATCAAAATTTCTGAGTCATGGAAAAAGGTTCCAGGATTGAAATTTGGAGGGGAAGGGATGGCCATAAGTCATAAGGATATTGACATTCAGCCCTAATACTGATTCTATTTTTTTATGGGAAAATATTATGAATTGTTCAACAACTGATTATTATTGTACTCCATAGTCGCCATGACTCCATGACCTGGGCAAGACAAACAAGTAGGCCGCTCCAATAAGACCTCCTCGATATTTGGACCACCGAGAAGTAAAGGGCCCCTCACCCCAGTAAGTCAGCGGCTTCACAAATCGCTATCTACTGAGAGCTACATTTAGTTACTGGGCTTATGATCATATGATTATTATGATGAATCATTGGGGCTATCTGTATCACGGAAGCCAAAATGCCGAACCTGTAGTTAGGCACACCCATTCTAAACCGTGCACATACCATACAGGTAAACATGCCACAGCCGCCTTCTGTCTACCTGTTCGTGTGACTTGGTACTGATACTTGACCAAGACATGCAGACTCAACGCAGAAGATAGGTCATAGGATATAATCAAAACTGGACTATTGATGCATCTCTCCCAGTTGAGCGTAAAGTGCGTGATAAACGTGACTTAGTTGGGTCAAAACTAGAGGGACTAATGAAATACACAAGGGGAGTGCGGGCGCAAACCCACAGCTGGGGAGACCAACGCTGATCTGGTATGCCAGATGTTAGCGTTAGACTAGGGTCGTGAAGCGCGTTGTCAGGGGGCATTCTCGACCACTGAGGTGCATGTTCATTTAGGGTAGAAGCCAGCGCCCATCTTCAGTCATTTATGAATTTTGGCACACGCAACCTTTGCGGACTCTTCCAAGTTCCATTTCCACTTACTCCTACCTTGGCCATTGTTCTCATCAGATAAGACTTTTAAAAATGACTACCAGCAGCACGATGCCGAAGAAAGAGTGGACTTACAGGTTTACTTGTAATATCGTGAATGGCTCTTACGGTCAGACATTGGTAGCCGACCTTAAAGGAGGAGGCGGCGAGTCTCCAGCAGTCTGGGCACTGTCAGTTGATATTTCGTCAAGGCCTGTTGATTGACCCCATATACTAACTTCTGTAGGTCCGATACTGATCGTTTCACCAGCCCCTACAAGAAATGGGAGATATGGTCCCATCCTCTTGAGCAAAGCACCATAGTGCTCATATGGAACCGTGCCAGTAGGCGTTATATTAGGAGTGAGGGCAAGTTAAGATAATTCATGCCCTCGTATCTTTCGCATCTCCAGAGTCCTAACCAGTGTCTCAAATCTAGGGCTCGGTAGACGGGTGAATTGCTATACTGGTTCTCAGTCCGAAGAGCAGTTCCATTGGTACCTGGAGGGCGCAGACGTCAAGAACTACGATCCTGCTACTCCCATAAAGTACGGGAATAAAAACTAATCATGTATTAAAAAAGGTGCTGACTTGACTTCACTAGATTTCGATCTGTATCGCATCCAGATGCTTCTTTAAGTCTTGAGCGAAACGACCCTGGTCTTGAGACTGCTTTTGCTTGCCGGAAGTCAACACATGAATACTTCCAATTGTTCCATCTATACAAAGTATAACAAAGTTCGCTTATAGTGCCTTCTAATTATTACATTAAGAACCTACGGCGGAAAATTTGGTCTATTTTCAGTTATAAATCTTGAGTCCAAAATTCGAATCACCCGACAATAATGCGTCAGTTCATCATTGCTTTATTTGGACCCAGCAAGCTCGGAATGTTAGAACAAGGTTCGAGACTCGATAAGTATGCCGAAGATACATACTATCTCGGAAGTGCGATGCCATTCGTGTTTGTTGCATGATGAGGCTTGGATCTTTGTTGGCAAATCGGAAGCCAGTTCATATCTGTCAGTGGCTGGCTGTAAGCTACTTCTTTACTAGCGTGCTCTTGCTATTGAAGTTACGAACCCTAAATGGATGGGAGACTAGTGAGCCCGGGTCTAAGCAGAGCCTTTTGCCCGCGTAGTGGCGCCAGTCACCAAGATGGGCCTAGACTATGTATAGGAGGATGTGATCAGTAGTTTCATGCATGTTACCAATAAATACAAGGGTCTGTATCGTTGAACTTGGACAATCATATGCTATTCCTCAAAGCGGCAGTGATCTGCGAGTGACTTGCCCGCAGGAGCTGAAAAGAAGTTGCCACGCTTCTTGGCTGATCTTGAGGGGCTACTATGCTAATTTCAGCAGACCTTGACGGTCCAGACCTCCGCTACTTTGTGCTATCTTGTAAAAAAGCCTACACGGTACGGATTTGAAAACAACAGCAGCCGGCCTATTGGTACCGCCCCCCTCACTCCATCTTATGGTACATTATCTAAGCAACCGGTTGCCGTGAAGAATCGCAACCACCTTTGTTTGATTGGATGGTGAGTGCAGAGACTGTTCATTCCATCCAAGTGTCTAGGTTTAGCAACCTTACAAATTATATCACAATCAGAGCACTTAGATGGGCTACACTTCAATAGCTTCTCAATTAAGATCTTCAAACAACGGCATACCTTGAACCAACAGGATTTCAGACGCTTTTGTCGTTAGCAAGATGAATCGCAAGCCTAGGTATCAGCCAAGCGATGCTGTGGCACCAAGCACCGGTGGCTCAACGGACAGTCCATCATCATCTTCCCAATCTACACCTCATGGCATAGTATCGAAGGGGAAAGGCAAACAAACCGCACCGACAGGTCAAAGAGTGCCGGCTGTCATTTCATCCCCGGGCCTTCAGAAAGGCATTGCAGGCGGCAGCCATCGGCCAATTGACCAAACTTTCAAGATGAACCCAGTGAACGGTACAATGTCTTTGACCATACCAATTCCAGTAACTGAGGGACGTGGTGGATTTGGACCAAAGCTTGAACTCTCGTATAATTCGGGCTCAGGAAATGGCTGCTTCGGAATCGGCTGGCAACTGAACTTGAGTTCTATCACACGCATGACTTCCAAGCGTACTCCTATGTACGATGAGACTGACACTTTCTTGTTGAGCGGTGAGGACGAGTTGGTCCGTATGGGGGACCCTGAACGCATAGGCGATGACTTTTCCGTCCAGTCGTATCAACCTCGAGTCATGGGAGATCCTCTGAAGATCGAACAATGGAGCCGATTGAGAGATCCTTCTGATGTCCATTGGAGGACAATTTCGGGTTCCAATGTGACTTGCATATACGGCCAGTCAAGCCAAACGCGAATATCGCGTAGGGATCAGTCTGGTTGCACGTGTATCTTCTCTTGGCTGCTGTGCTCTTCATATGACTCTTTTGGGAATTTGATCACCTATGAATACAAGGAGGAAGACACGCAGGGTTTGGATACTTTGTCGCCTGAAGCACGATTGCAGGAACAAGGCCGAGCGACAGAAACATCTGGGCGTGCAAAGTACTTGAAGGTGATCAAATACGGCAATACACTCCCAAATCGAGATCTTAGTAGTTGGAAGCCACTCGAGTATGACGGGCAATACCACTTCCAAGTAGTTCATGACTACGGAGACCATGACCTCGACAACCCGGATGTTCAGGCAGACTCACCCTGGTTAGTCAGACAAGACCGATTCTCGACAGCTGCAGCCGGGTTCGAAGTACGCTGGCTGCGGCTGTGTCGCCGCATTCTCATGTTCCATTACTTTCCGAAGGAGCTGTCGGAGAAGCATTGTCTGGTGCGTTCTGTTTCGATGCAGTATCGAGAATCATCCGTGACCTCCTTCCTATCTTCACTGATAGAAAGGGGACATTGGTTCAATCATGAAACGAAGAAGATGCAACATCAAATGCTACCGTCATACACTTTCCAGTATAACATGCCGATCGATGTATCCAAAGCCCAACTTGAACACATGAATACCGATAACTTGCCAAATTTGCCCGGTCCGGATGGGCATGAGTGGCAATGGGTGGATTTGCTAGGCGAGGGAGCGCCTGGTCTTCTTGAACAACGTCCCGACGGCTCTTGGAACTTCCGTAAGAACTATAATGTCATCGATGATTCATCAGCCCCGAGGTTCGATTCATCTATGACCATACCTGCACGACCGAACCGAAACTTGGGCAAATCGGCTTACTTTGAGGATTTGAATCAAGACGGAAAGCTTGAACTAGTCTGTTTAGACGATGTGAACAAGTTGGAAGGCTTCTACCACCAGCATGATGAGCAGTGGGTTGGCTTCACCACCTTCTCGTCGATTCCAAATCGAGATACCACGGCAGTATTCTTCAAACAGCTTGATCTTACTGGAGATGGCCTTGCGGATCTTGTGGCCGTTGATCCCGTGGACAGAGAAATTATATGGCAAGAGAATTTGGGCACAGTTGGATTTGCTCCATTGAGGCGCTCCGTCAACAGGACGGGTGTTCCACAGCTAATGTCTGATGATCCTACGGTACAGGTCACTGTTGCTGATATGACAGGTGACGGTCGGCCAGATATCGTACAAGTCTCTTCAGGCTGTGTCACATACTGGCAGAATCTATCACACGGGCAGTTCAGCGAGCCGATTTGCATGTATAATGCACCAAAGCTGGAAAGCGATACCTCCATTGCCGAAAGAATACGCCTTGCTGATATCAACGGCTCGGGTACTAACGACCTGATCTACATGCCTGCCAGTGGCGGTCTGCACGTTTATTTCAACCAAACAGGAAACGGCTGGAGTGACCCACAGATTCTGGAGTCATTTCCGCCGGTCAACCAACTGAGTAGCATCTCTACGGTTGACCTCTTTGGCAAAGGAACCGCATGTTTATGCTGGAGCGGTAAAGTGTCAGGGTCAAATTCAGCGCAGACTCTTTACTATGTCGATCTTGCCCCTGGACCCAAGCCCAACTGCTTAGCTTCATACCGCAATGGGAGAGGATCTCGAGTAGAAGTCTCATATCGGTCCTCCAACTGGTATTACCTGCGAGATGAGCGAGCTGGAGCCTCGTGGTCTACAAGGATAGGGTTCCCGGTCCAGTGCGTGAGCCAAGTCAGGATCCTGGACGATACAACTGGCCTTCTAAACACCAAGAGTTTCACTTATCATGATGGCTACTACGATGCTCATGATAGAGAGTTTAGAGGCTTCGGGATGGTCGAAAAACTCGAATCTATCGTTTTCAACGTCGATACTCCATCAGAATTCCGCCAACCAGCTAGGCTCACCAAAACTTGGTTCCATACGGGAGCAGTGACACCAACTGTGTGCCGTCTAGAGCGAGCATCTTCTGCAGCTCTATTCGGAACTTACTGGTCCGTAGAGTCAGTCCAGCTCGAAGATCGGCGCGACACCTGCCGGGCTCTCAAAGGAATGCAACTTCGGGAAGAAATCCTTGGCGAACATGGAACTACACTTACAGAACATGCCTACCAAGTTACGGATACTGCTCACCAGGTGGTCCGGCTCTCGCCCAGGAAAGGCCCACTGCAGCCAGGCACATATCGTTGCGTTCCACGCGAGGTACTCAAGACTCATAATGATCGGTCCCCGGAGTCACTGCCACGTTACAACCACGAACTCATTCTGGAGACCAACAACTTCAATGATACACTGAAATCAATGGAGATTTTCTATGGGTGCTCACGCGGAGAGGTCATGGATCCTTCCCAGAAGGAAACTATCTTGACTTACACGGAGAACGAATATTGCTTGCCTATACTTGACAAAGGCAATGGGATCTTTGTGAAGCCAATGCCGTCAGTCACTCGCAAATATCGGATTGTTGGTCTGGACTGTTCAAGCGACAACATACAATCGGCTTTCACCAGGTTTACTAGCGGCAGCTTCCAAATGTTGCGGCGTATTCCCGAAGTTCCATACACAGGTCAGATGCTACCTCCATATTCTTCAGAAGCCCGAGTAAAGGTCGAAGAGAGACGGACCTTATACCGCGATCAGGAATTGTCCCAAGAGGATCCCTTACCTCTAGGGCAATTCCAGGGCTACTCGGTGATGCTTGGTACACTTGACCTGGCTGGAGGAGACAAATGGTTTCAAGACCTGCTCAAGCACTATTTGCCTGAGAATTTGGGGCTGGATAGTTTTATGACTACATACGGGTACATCAAGACGACGGAGGAAGACGGTGCCGTGCTGTGGTGGCGCCCTTCTTCGCGTACTCTATTTGATCCTGAGGCAGAAAGTGAACTCGTCACGGCCAGAAGGTGCTTCTACACACCGACGATCACCCAGGATCCCTTTGGCAATCGGAGTACAGTTCAGATGGATGACTACAACCTGCTGCCAAAGCTTTCTACTGATGCGGTGGGAAACGCTACCAAGGTGGATATGAATTACAGATACATGTCTCCATTGTGTGTCGTTGATCCAAACCGCAATCGAACCACCTATAGCTACGACCTGTTGGGTCGAGTCATGGCAACAGCCCGATCCGGGAAAGAGAACGAATTGGTTGGTGATAATCTCAACACGACAATCAAGCTACCCTCACAAGCTGATAAAGATGCTTTCTTTGCATGCCCAACCCAAGAGGCTGCTTTTGAGCTTATAGGTGGTGCCACTAGCTACCGCTTGTACTGCGACGCTCAAACCAAGCGTTCCAGTGACCTTTCGGATACCTGTCCAACTGCCTTTATCGACTTGAGTCGAATGTATCATCATGCTGATGGGGCCAGTGCTAGTGATATTTCCATATTGATCACCTACTTGGATGGTAATCTCGCTGAGCTGCAAACCACCAGCTTGGCTGACACAGGGAAAGGTGGATATAAATGGAACATTAGTGAATGGAGCTTGCGGAATAGCAAAGGAGACCCGGTTCGCACGTTTCAGCCGTGCTACTCCAATTCGCATGAGTTCGTTCGTTCTTCTGAAAGCCAGTCGAAAGTAACGTCCATGATCTACGATCCCCTCAGCAGACTAGTTGGTACACTGTATCCTGACCACGCGTACTCGAAATTGAGATATGGGACTTGGACAACTACAAACTACGACAGAGGGGATACAGTCTTGATGGACCTCTCTGAGGACAAAGATCTCAGTATCTATACCAACCTTCTCGCAAAGGAGAACTATAGCCCCAGCTGGCACGCTAGCGCTTCGACCCAAGAGCTTTCACGCAGGGCTGTAGCGAAGGCTTCGGAGGTTTACAGTGAGACACCCGATAAGACTTATCTGGATGCGCAAGAACGTCCGATTCTCCAAATCAGAGATTGCAAAACTGCTAAGATAAAGTCGCGGAGTGTTTACAGCCTATCAGGGCATTTGGCCCAAACAATAGATGGTAGCGGTCGTCTTGCTGAAAGCGTAACCTCTGACTTGCTAGGGCGTGGCATACTCCATCGAGGCATGGATACGGGAGCGGTCTTCACCTTTCCCGACTGTATGGAACGCACTGTGATTCTGATAGATGGCCGTAACTGGAAGCAACGATCAGTCTATGATGCCGCAGGCAGGAAGACCCATATCTGGCTCTCACAGCACGATGGAACCGAGTTCTTGGCAGAACTGACTCGCTATGGTGAGTCTGTGGGCGGTGCCGAGTCTGTGAACTTGCGTGGAAAGGTATTTGAGATACGGGATCAGTCAGGGATCCAGACGAACAAGGTCCTGGACTTCAAAGGGAACTGTGTCGAGTCAACAATCCAGTTCGTGACTGACTACAAAGGATCGATCGACTGGGGAGCTGAGAGCAATCCGAAGCTAGACCCCGAGGTCTACACGGTTCGAAAGTCTTATGATGCCATGGACAGAGTGGTCGAGACATACGATGCCGAAGGTGCAGTCACACGGCATATTTATGGCATTTATGGACAGCTTGATCGGGTTTCATACGGAAGCAGAGGGCAGAAGGATGACCCCTGGGAAGATTACATGAGTGACATGAGGTACGCGGCTGATGGACAACCAGAGCAGATCCTATATGGAAATGGTGTCTTGGCGACCTTTCGGTATGACCCAGCTACCAGACTCATGATTCGCAAGAGACTCATTCGCCAGAATGACAGGAGGGTCATGGAGGACACACATTACTCACACGATGTTATGTATCGGGTGATTCAGTCCAATGATGCCGCCCAGCCAGTTTCCTACTTCAACAGCACCATCGTTGATGCAAGATGCTCTTATACTTACGACACTATTGGTCGTCTCTCGTCGGCCCAAGGTCGCGAAGATACTAATACCAACGCACGAGGGAAGTCATCTGTTGGAATACCTAGCGACAGCACCCGAATCTGCAGATATACGGAAGAGTATCAGTATGACGACGCTGATAACATCACCCAAGTGAAACACCACGCAGGTCCAAAAGGCCAGATGTGGGTGCGGAGTTATGCGTACGAGGAAAAGAGCTTGGTCAAGGAAGGCGAGGCGGGAAACAGGCTCAGCTACACTTCAAAGAGTGGTCAAACAGAGAAATGGACCTACGGCGATGGAACCAGCACGGGATTTACGGGCAGTGTCATTGCCGGTGGCGGGATGCATTCCATGGACTGGGATCCTTTCAGCCGTCTCAAGTCTTGCTCAAGGCAAATCAAGAAGAGTGGTACACCAGAGACTACATGGTATGTGTATAACAGTGAAGGTAGGAGGGTACGAAAGGTGACGGAGCGATCATCGTCTGGTTCAGAGGATCTGAGAAAGCTCAAAGAAACTTTTTTCTTTTCCAATCTGCACATATACAAGTGCAAGACTGGTGATGAATCTGGCTACAGCAAGGATAAACGGTACCATCTGATACATAGTACCGAACAGAAACTCGTGGCCATTGCGGAAGAGGACAAATCCTTGTCTTCAGCGTCTGCCCCTCTAGTCAGATACCACATGTCCGACAAGCTGGAGTTGGATCAGTCGGGACTTGTCATAACTTACGAGGAGTATTCACCATTTGGATCAAGTTCCTTTTGTCTCCGACGATCGAAACAAGAGGCATCCCGCAAGTACAGATTTTCTGCTTACGAGAGAGATAAAGAGACGGGACTCTACTACTGCAACGCACGATACTATGCTCCGTGGCTTGGGCGTTGGATTTCACCAGATCCCCTTGGGACCAAGGATGGGCTAAACTTGTACTGCTACTGCGGCAATGATCCGGTGAACTACGTCGATCCCACCGGAACTATGGGCACGGGCATAATGAAGGCAATGCAAATAGCAGCAGTTCCACTGCTGAAGAACGTTATGAGAATGGACGAAAACGCGAAAATGAGCTCCAGGGTTCAGGCCTACCAGCAATCCTGGCTATCACAGTCGTCCAAGCCGCCTCGAGATTCATATCCAGCTGTCATGGATGATGTCAAGATCATAAATGAGCATGAAGAGCTAAACAACCTGAAGGAATACAACGCGATAAGGTTACATGAAGTACAGAAACCGCTGCCAGGCATGTCCCTAGAGCGGATGAGGGAATTAGAAACGTACACCCTGGATCAGTACATCACTGAGCTTGCCAAGGAAACTCTGATCGCGGTATACAAGAAGGGCGTCGGAGCTGCTACTTGCACAATCGCTACACAGATCGCCCTACTAGCCATCCCCTTGCCTGCGCGGGCTGCGCTTGTTATGTTCACCGGCGTTGTCGGTAATGAACTCGCCGAGGTTGGGGCGAACAAGTTTCGTGAGTGGCAGGCGGGTCCGAATGAATTCGCGCAGAGGGACGCACAGAGACACGTCGACCTGTTTAGCAAGGTATTGGGTGATCCGCGAGGACTTGGACAGGAATGGGGAGAGAATTGGGCCAGAGATGCTTTTCACTCCTGGACATCATAACTTACTTAGTTCGCTTCTCTTTTACTTAAGCTCTTTGGTTTGCTGTTATTTCCCCTAAGTTAGTTATATACATTGGCTTCAACGCTCTCAGTACAATCAGCAGGTCTAAAATAGCGCAATCATCACTGCTTACGCCTCAGCTACTATGACATTTCGAGCAACGCGAAAAGCTGTAACCTTTCCCCTCAAAGCAATAAACATGGACGTGTTCGACTTCCCAAACTTTAGCGATCGTGTCGAGGCGTTGATGCGAAGCAATCGTGTTCCTGGCCTCTCTGTTGCTGTTATCCACGGTGATAAGGTCAAGTCCGCGGGCTATGGCTTCGCCTCAATCAAGTCTCAAGAACCATGCACTGCAGACACGCTGTTTGACATCGCGTCTTCCTCAAAATCGCTCACAGCGGCAGCAATCGCTCTTTTGGTTGAGGATGCCAACTTTTCGGAAGTTCAATATGGCTCAATCATGTCTGAACTGCTGCCCGACGACTTTGTCATGTCGGAGGAACTGCACACCAATACTGTCACTGTAGACGATCTTTTGGGGCACCACACTGGCATGCCTGGGTAAGAATCACTTACGCTCGATAGGTTGGACTAACAGTGGTGTAGCCACGATGATTCATACATGGGAATACGCGCTGCTACTGAGCGACAACGCGCGATCAATTACGCGAAATCTGCGAAACTTCGCTGTCACAGCTCCACCACGGACACGCTACATCTACTGCAACATGATGTACACTGTCTTGACTCATCTCATAGAAACCAAAAGCGGACAGTCTTTCAGCGAATTCCCACAAGAGCGCACCTTTGATCGTCTTGACATGACGTCGAGCAGTCTGCAGCCCGAAGGCGCCAAAGCTAGAGGTCACTGTCATCGTATAGCAAAAGGGCATATTTGGGACAAGAAGTCCGCATCATATCGCGAGTTTGATGCAGTGAATTGTCCAGAAGGCCAAGGCGCAGGGTCATTAATCTCGAGCGCCAACGATTACATCAAGTTTCTCAATGCGCTTATCGATCGTAACGGGCCGATAAGTCAGGCTGTGTACCAAGGATTGACTCGACCGCGGTCTGAGCGAGGTGCAAACCATCGCCAACGAAAGACGGGCATTCATCGTATTCTCTACACAGCTGGTATGGATCTGTACTGGCAAGGCGAATACGCGGTGTTTGGGCACAGCGGAGACATTACAGGGTTTGGTAGTCGCTTTGTGTTTCTGCCAGAGCTCAAGTTTGGGGCAGTTATAATGGGCAATTCTTCGGGAACCAACTCAGTAGCTGCACAACTATTTCGCGAATTGATCGACGCGGCTATCAAGTCTTATACGGGGCCGCGGCCATTGAGCGCAATGTCCAACCCAGTGGTGCACACGGCGCCGCCAAAAGAACGCGAGAAACCGAATTCAAAGTCGCAGAGTCACGCGGGTGAGATGGTGAAGACCAACGCTGGCAGGGGAAAGGACCAAAAAGAAGACACTTCAACTATAGTTGGATCTAGTGCTACCTTGCAAAGAGATGTGAAACTCGAAGAATATGCTGGCGACTATTGGAACCCTGGTTATCGCAACATGAAAGTTGAGATCAGAGAAAACGGGCTTTTCATCGATGCAACAGATCGCTCGATGGGCTTCACAGCGAGACTCAAACACAAGCGGGACCAGTCTGTATACGATGCGCATGTACGAGACGCATTTGATACGGGTGACGAAGTCCTGATGACCGAGTTCATAATTGAAACGGCAAGGTCGTGGGGATGGGCATAGATCTAGAGCCACTTATTGGAGACTTGATATGGTTCGACAAAGTTGACAAGCATCAATAGCACCGACGAGTTAAGGTTGCTTCTAGCATTGTCAAGACTCCAGTGCACCATGAATGATGAAAGATAGAACGTGTATCTCACATTCTCAGTCGTGTCCAGCAACTTATCACAAGCGTACCGCAATTCGTGTTTGGATCCGCGTCTTTCCACATGTTGTCGTCATCGCTCCCAACTTCCCCAAACTTTAAAGACCCAGTAACTCGAAATGGTGCCAACGGCTTCCGTTTCTTGTTTTGCTAGCTTCAAATCCCCAGATCAACCCCGCAATCTGTAATGCCGATCCTGAGTAATTTATAAGCACAAGATGACCATTCAGCCTGGCCTCCGGGCTTTCGAGTCTCTAATTGAAGTCTTATTCTGCTTGCCCGGAAAAATGACGCCTCTTGTTGCCATGCTTTTGGCTGTGTTGTACGCCACGTTGGCGTTGGGCGATTCATGCCCTGTCATCACCCAACAGCTTAGCGATCCACCTTATGAGAACTACTTCTACTCCGATTGCAACACTGACGCGCAAGTTGTTGTTACGAGTCCTCTGCCGGATAGTAACCTGTCGATTATCGGCCCACGGCTCATTGTTGCGTGGCCTGCGGGGAACAGTGGTATATGCACGTTCTTCCAGCCCCAAGACGAGAAAAATGGAACTCTGGCGATCGAACTGGTCAATTCGACTCTCGGATCACCACTTGGCGTAATCAATCGCGAAGAAAAGGGATCAGATTGTCCCTACGTTGGAGTTGAGGGCGTTCTGTCGTTCAACTCGTCGGCGAATCTCACCGTTGCTATTCTAGGTTCGATCCGCAACATAAGGGATTTTACAGAAGGGCCGAGTATCATCAACCCGGTGATTCATAATGCCACAAACTTCACGAGAGTGAAGAATGGAGGCGTACTTATATCAAGATTATGGCTGGACAATGTGACAACGACGAACCTGTTGCTGAAGCCATGGCAGAACAAGGAGAGTAGCCTGTCCATCTATAACAACACCCTTAGTTTTGGTGCGGGCTTCTACAAGTTCTCGGCATCGTTCAATTATCCTCAATTGAAGCAGCTATCTCCCGAGCAAGTCCTTAACAACCAGTCGCAATCACTCGCCAAGAAAGAGCAGTCGGAGGTCAGGTCACTGTCCTTCTTCTCGTATACCGACAAGCTGCTCGCAGGTGGCTGGCGATTCTTGACATACTTTGGTCGCGACACTATGATCGCCGCGCTTTTGCTCGAGCCAGTTCTCAGTGCTGGGAACAATTCAGCTTTGGAAGCGGTGATCGGTGCAGTGTTGGAACGGATCAATCGCACAGACGGATCGGTCTGTCATGAAGAGACCATCGGTGACTACGCCACGCTTCTGAACTTACAGAACGGCATTGATTCAACGGCACCGGGCTTTACATATCCCATGATTGATACAGACTATTTCTTGCCAGTCCTCATGGACCGATATTTCAGCTCCACACCAAAGCGAGTCAAACCATTGCTGAGCACAAAGGCTGGCGATGTTGACGTCGAGAACTGGAATCTGACATGGGGTAATTTGACCTACATCAACGCACAGAAGATTATGAACATCACAGCAGCATTTGAGAAGGAACAGTCGGTAAAGAACTTGGTTCAGCTCAAGAAAGGTGAGCTGGTTGGCCAATGGAGAGACTCGACCTATGGTCTTGCCAATGGACGGATACCCTTCGACGTGAACTGCGCTCTCGTTCCTGCCGCGCTCTACGCTATTTCCAACTTGGCCAAGGTTGAAGGAGTGTATCCGAATAATTCTATGACCAAAGAATGGAGTTCTATTGCGGCGAAGAGAGCTAAGATCTGGGAGGATCATACACTGCCGCTGTTCCAGTATAATCTCACTGTTGGCACGGCTACTTCGAATTTGAAGGACTACGTCAAGGAGAATACCTTCTATAACGGACCAACTCATGCAGATTCAGTTGCTAACTACTCATCTTCTGGGAAAGTCGTTGACTATGCTTTAGCCATTAACACTACCAAGGATGAGGAGAAGATACGCATCACGCATACTGACACGGCGTTCCGTCTGTTTCTTCTCAACTCAACCAACGATGCCCAGCTCACGACTTTCTTAAACGCAACAGCCAACGCCATCCTTCGTCCATTCCCGGCCGGTCTGAGTACTCCCCTCGGCATCGTGGTTGCAAATCCAGCACTAGCAGGCAACGAAGTCTTCACCGCAAACTTCACCAACGCCGCATATCACGGCACCGTAGTCTGGAGCTGGCAACTCGCCCTCATGGCTAAAGGTCTCGAGCGTCAGCTTGCACGATGTTCATCGTCCCAGTCTAAGGATGACGATGATGTTCCTGCATTTTGCAGCAATACCGGAGTGCACACAGCTTTAAAGAGTGCTTACAATCGTTTGTGGGACATTATTGAGGATAACAGCGAGAGATTGCAGTCAGAGGTCTGGAGCTGGAGCTATAGTTCGAAGAGTGGTTACAAGTTCGCGCCCTTGGGGACGTTGCCGCCTCCGCCGGGACTGAGCTCTGGAATTGAGAGTAATGTGCGGCAGTTGTGGAGTTTGACATTCTTGGCTGTGAAGAGGAACAAGGACTTTGCTTGATTTTCCTAAAGACTTGATGTATATCGACCTAATGCGCAACATTGAATGGGGGAATGGTAGTCTATAGCTGAACAAAAGAAATTATGAAGGATCATTACAGGTCATGAATTTTAAACAAAAGTGAACACGAACAATCTCCAGTTCATACCAAAGATCAGAGTTGATCGTATAGAGACTTTCCCGCCGTCCAGTCCTTTCGTCTCTGGAACACCAACACATTGGACTCACTTGTCTCATCAGCGAATCTCGCGCTCGTCCTCGCGTACAACGTGAAACCGTGGCGCTCAAAGATTTCAAGCAACGACAGCAGCTTCAGTTGGGTCTCAGCTCCATCAGATTCCAGCGGTCTCCATGGATATCCCTTGAACTTAATCTTGGCGCGGTCTGGTGTGACCTCATGTCGTTGTATGTCAGTCATGAAAGTCGCCATGATATCGTTGACAAGATCTGTAGGCGGGAAGTTGAGAATCTTCAGTTTGTCTCCGCCGTGGAATGATACATTTAGCCATTCGCACGGAGGAGGGGCGTGATTAACTTTGCGGAAGATGAGTGCATCTGTTCTCGTCAGTATACCTTGCCCAGCTTGCGAGTATCGCGTGTGACTTACCTTTCGTCGAAACTCTCTTCGTCACCTCAATAGGCGAATAAATCACCCAAGCCAAGCCATGCATACCCTCCAATATCCGAAGCGTCAACATCATCGCTTGCTCGTTGCCATTCGGGTCATATCCCCATGCATAGCCTCCTAGCTTGAACTCCCGCGACGATTCTTGCGGGTAGACTTTGTCAATCCCGCGTTCCCAATATGTCCTCACAATTTCGTGCATGGCCGCGATTTCCACCTCTGAGAGGTTGACCAGTCTGATGCGGTCAAAGCCATGTCGTGTGATTGACGCAAAGCGACTCTGGAAAGTTGATGGCCCAGCGTCAGAGACAGCCTGGCTGAATGGTGGCGGTGCAGCGGCGGATGAGGCTTCGGGGGAGTCGAAGAACGCGGATTTGGTCTTTTCGGACATTTTGGCAGTGATATACTAAAAGAATCAGGTTTGCAGCGAGTAAAAATGCGGATGGTCCTGAATATATATATAAATAAGCTTCTATCAAGGCGACGTTCAAAAGGTTATTATTATCTTGAGGGAGGCATCACGTCAGCCACAGGTATCAGGCGGTTCAATATCGTGAGGCTATACGGGGGCGGTGCAACAGAAGCCAATAAAGCATCGCAAATAAACCCAAAGCATAAGGGCAATCCTGCGAAAAAAGGTTTTGGCTGTCAAATCTAATGCAATGCACGCTAAATATGGACAGGCCTTGAGAAATTTGCTGGTACCTGCAAGCGACGTCATTGTGCGACAGGACCGTTTTTGGTCATCATTCACGCCCTTGGGGGCGGGGTACTCCAAAATTCACGGTCCCTACTACTGGTACCGTTAACAACTTCACACAGAACTCTTCAATTGCATATTTTGACTTTTCACACAAATCATCCTACAGTTTGAGTCTTTTGGGATACAAACACGATGACTACCGAGGATCAGGATATCACCCTCACGGCTCAGTGCCACTGCAAAGCGCATACCTTCACTAGCAAAGTGCCTCGATCAAAACTCCCTCTACCTGCGTCGATATGCCACTGCACCTCATGCCGAAACGCCACCGGCGCCATGTACAACTGCAACATAGACTGGCCGGGTTCAGCAGATGAAATTCGCAACTCTGATCTGAAATCCTACGAATTCACCTCCAATTGCAAGATTTTGTTCTGCGGCTCATGTTCGTGTCCGATGTTCTGGGATTCTCACTACAACGATCAGCCCCAGAACTTTGGCGTCTTCACGGGAGTCTTGAATAATATTGACGTTGATAACCTCATCAACTTTACGAGGCAAATCTTTGTTGGTGATACGGTCGATGGAGGTCTATCTCCGTGGCTCCAGAATGTGAACGGGGACGGGGAGAAGCCTCGCAGATGGATGGAGAAGCCTGAAGATGGTTGGGAACTGGGTGAAGTTTGGCCTACTGCGAATGAAGATGCTCGGCCCGAAGCGCCTCCAGCCACAGATATACCTATCCGTTGTCACTGCAGGGGGGTCGATCTTGTCTTCCGTCCCGGCAACGTGGACTTCTCTGCCATGGAGGCTGATGCGATTCCCTCGTTCATCGAGCCAAAGACCCATAAACACCTTGCGACGATCGATCCATGCCCCTCATGTCGTTTGTCAGTTGGTGTTGACGTAATGAATTGGACATTTGTCATGCCTCAACAGATCGACTTCCCAGAGAAAACCAATAACCCCGAATTTCCGCGCAATACACTTGATCTGAAGCGTGCAGTCAACAGTCCCGACCGAGATCCTCGTTATGGCACGCTCGCTATCTATCGAAGTTCACCCGACGTTCAAAGATATTTCTGCTCGCGCTGCTCTGCGACGGTATTCTACACCGTGGACGATCGTCCAGAGTGTATTGACGTCGCTGTCGCACTGCTGCATGCTCCAGAGGGCGCTCGTGCAGAGAGCATCTTGACCTGGCATCTTGGTGCGAAGATGATGGGAGAGTGGGATTTTGAGAGGGGCTGGAGAAAGGATTTCGCCATGTCGGTGAAGGACACGTCAGAGAAGTGGCGTATCGACAAAGGTTATCCCAAGACGTGGAGGAGGATCGCTTTTGAGGCAGCAGAGAAGCAGAGTTGATGAGTTCCGCGTAGCAAGTTGAGCCTTTAGTGCCTGAGTTTAAACCTCGTGTGTGAGGCGCGTGATGTGAGCCATCAGCTGTGGGGACTATCAACTCAAAATAACACTCTATTCAAAGAGTTTAAACCTCATTGCTCCTTGAGAGACACAAATAGAATATGTCATAGACAGACATCACAAAGGCTGATGCGATTCCGTGACCTCTTGGCGCTCAAATTATGATTTTCTTGGTGGAGCTGGCTGGAAACTGAGTTCTATAGCCCCAGACAGCAACGCCATCAATTATTTCACGCTCGTCTACAAATACCTGTCTCTCCCCGCTCTCTCGAACTTCATTCCTCTAAATCAGTCCAAGTATCTTTCCGAACTGGACACTATCCCATTCGTTCGACGTTCGACGTTCGACGTTCGTATCCACTTCGTCCAACATGGCTCGGCCCCATCTCGTCACGCTCCCCTACGAGGTGCGCGACATCATCTTTCAGGAGTACTTCCGCGTGAAAGGAGGCTATGTTTTCAGTAACGAATCTGAAAGGCTCACCACCGCTGGCGGCCAACCGATTGACTTCTCCTTGATGTACACCTGCCGCTCCATCGCAAACGACACCAAACATCTACCTTTTGAAGTCAACAACATCTCCTTCTCCACCCTCTTCTCACCCGACTTGAGGGCTTGGGCTGGTCGCCATCAGTTCCTATCCCAATTTATTCCCATTCTGAAGGCGGATCTTATATGTCTTCTCCAAGGCCCTACAATGTCTCCCGAACTGGAAGAAGCACTAGAAGAAAAGTTCCCGCATTTGATGCCGTATTTCAAGAATGGTCTGGAGGATGCCTATCGCAGACGTCTCCGACGAGACCCTACTGTTCGTAATGGCTGTGCCTTTCGATACTGGAAGGAAAGTCGGCACACAAGCGAAATCATAAAAGACCTTGGCGATGTGGAAGTAAGGGCATATGGTAAAAACACGTCTATGGCGAGGGAAGCTATCGCATTCAGTCTCCGATTCCTAGGAGAGCGTCGATATTTCGAACTGGCTCGCCTCCTCAACGAAGCATTCCCTGACTGGAAAGGCTCCAACAATCCGCAATATCTCATGGATCTAACCTTGGATCCCTGGGATATCCCCTCCAAGGCCGTTCTTACAAGGATCGGAAGCTTATTGAGGGATGATGCGGTGTGGGGGCGTATTAAGGATTGGCACGAAGGAGTGCAGGCAAACTATCGCTTTTCTGCCACTGCGGTTGCAATCAGATTCTTTCGTCAACTTTCTCGTGAGCAAATGCGGCATCTACGTGGTATCACGCTCATCGAGGACGAATATGCTGTTTGCTCCCCTTCAACTCACGCTAATGGTCTCATCAAATTCTGCAAAGACAATCCAAAGCTCAGAATACAACGCCACCTCAAACTACGCCGCCGCATCCCTGCCGTTATCCATCCTTGTTGGTATATGGCTGGATACAGCTCTATTATTAAACCTCGCAGTGAGCGAAACCTCTACGATGGGGAGTACATTAGGCCCTTGCTTGCAATTGACGGGATAGGCACATGGTTAGAAGAGGCAATCACATTGCCAGACGCCGGAATGCCCCGCAACTCCTACACGCTTTGCTTCGATGAAGAACCCGATAAAGCTTATTTTTCTAACATATTCCAGAACACCCTGCTTCGGATACACGCTTTGATTCTAGCAAGCCAACAGCTGCTTCGGATGCGTCCTGACCAATTCGATATGTGGTTTTCACTTCCCTATCAACGTTGGCAGAGCGGCCACTTCTCAAAGGCAGTCAAGTACTTGATAGATCACCACTCTGACAGTATTGACAGCTTCCCGCTCATCTGCTCCAATTTTCATCCCGGCCAGCCTTTCGATGTCAGAAGTTTTATCCAAGAACGTCTTGAATGGACAACACATGAATGGTTGGACGACCAGATGATAAAGTCTTTTCGTCTCAAACAGTGTGCTTCAACATTTGGGAGCTGGAATGACAATTTAGAGTCTTTCTATGAATTCGAGAACCCTCGAGAATTCCCTCCTTCAGAGAACATGATAGAATCTTAGTATTTTATTTAAGTAAGGTAGCTATATGTCATCCTATTAAAAGCTATACTTAAGAGAAACTACTGTTAGTTACTCACGTACCATAAGATAGGGGTCATATAGCGAAACATATGTTGAATTCAAACACTATGGTTTCTCAAATCCTGGATCGATTCCTAAAGTCGCTTCCGATCCTTTGATACTCTTACCGTCCGCATTTTCCACTGGTCTCTTAGGCGCTGCCTCCTTGTCCAAAGGCCCAGCCCTTGCAAAAATAGCACCACCAAAATTTAAGAAGTTAGTCGCACGGAGGACCATCTGATAAAACAATGTCATGCCAGTTACCAAGATCTCTTCCCTTGCCGCAGGATCATTGGCCCTGGGCCCTAGAAACTCGACACATCCGATATTGTTGAGTGACCAGCAGTTGGCAGAAAACTTGGCCACTGCGGACTCTTGCTCGTCAAGACAGATAAAGTCCCATGTCTTGAAGCTACTGCCGCTCGTCCATGTCATAGCAGCCGGTGTTCCGTCAGGACTGTCGGAGTAGTTGTATGATAGGTGGGTGTATGATGTTATGAAACGCTTTAGTGCTTTGATGGTGCCTTTTTGACCGTGGAGCTCGTAGGTCGCGTGGATTGTGACGGGGTGAAGTGTACCGGTGCCGATTACAGCTTCAGGGTCGTCGTATGGATGGAAGACGAGGGCGGTGCATTTGAAAGCATGATAGTCGACGATGTACTTGGGCGTTGAGGTGTTTGTCTGAGGATCTTTCTCAGAGACTAAAGCCTTCATCTTCTTCCACTTGAAGTCAACTTCGTAGACGGTGTTGGATGACTGCATGTTGTCTGTCGCTGAGAGATGATTGTTGGACTTTCTAATTTCAATTGGTTTGCAATGCAAGAATGGTGTTTATTGTGAATGAATTGCTCTGTCTAACATCGTGATTGCCATGGGATCTTGGACACTTATATACAGAACTTGGCGGCATGTGAGTATGAATGTTTATCTTGTCAGCGTAACATCGAAACAGGTGAGGATCCACTGATCTGTCGTGTTGCTAACTTCATTCGGCCTCATGGAGCGCTCCGATCGACACGATCGGTGGTAATTAATCCGCCTCCGTGCGCTAACTGCGCCTTGTTGGGCTGAATGGCAGGTCCGAACCTAGTGCGATAAGCGATAACGGATAAGGGATAAGAAGCGCTTATCAGTGATGTCATAGAGCTCGCCTAATTTTGCTATCGATAAGATAATATCACTACCCTACATAAATCTGATTTTAATACATTACTGCCTCTGTACTCCTTGAGAAACAGAAAGATACCCTGTAATATTAAATCTGGACCTAGCTAATGTTGAAGCTTGAGAACTATGTTGGGACTCCCATGGTAGACGATCTAGAAATGGAATGGACTTATCATGTACTTGGATTGAACATGAGCACCCAAAGGAGACCTTGTCTGCGGAGTTGTATCATACTTTGAGCTTCTCATGAGCACATCCCAAGTCCACTAAACACGACTTCTAGAATTTATCGAAGCATGAAACCAACAGCGATCAGCATCGCTGGCAAAACTCACCATCTGCGCTGTTGCTAAAAATTTCCTCCAAGTATCTTCATAGACCAGGTAATGCGACTGCAGCAAAATGAACCTGCCAGTTTGAGACGTTTGCGCTCAACAGACTGCTTCTGTCGAAAATAGAATTCACGGGTAACTTCTCAGCCTCCCAGTTCTGTTGTCAAGAGATCAGAGTTCACCACCTGCTTCACTTCCTGCTCTTAACAAGACCAAAGTTCTTTTCGAGTCCTAAAGTCAGATTTCCTAAACCTTACAGCCGAGTCCAAGACATTTTCAAGCTTCCCTCCGCAGCTGAGCGGAATGTCGATATTTTCTTCAACACCATTGGAGCTGTCAAAGACCAAGGCGTAGGGCTGATCTTGGCATTGAGGCCAAGCCAACAACCTTCTCCGCAGGTTTTCCAAAAATGGCGAACCTCTTCCCCACTCCCGCAGGTCATTCATCAATAAATGCAAGCCATAGCTCTCAGCTCCGAGTCGAAGCTCCGTCAAACACCGGACCACGTGCCACTTTTCGCCAAAGCATCCTGAACGCTGATTGGTCTGGCGCACGCCAAAATGTCATCGCGCTGCGATCTTTGGACGCCTCGAGGGAGAAGAGGCTTCTCGAGGGAAAGGCTGAGCAGGGAGGCTGGGCTGTATTGATTAAGCTTATTCTCTTTTAGGTGTTGCTAGACTGCGAGGGATGCTATTTCGAGGGACTGTTAGGCTAATTGAGTTTATAGCGAGGCAGAGGAGGAAGTGCTGTGTATTGTAAGTGTGATGAGCTGAAGATTGATGCATGAAGCCATCGTGTATAAGAAGAAGTAGGCTTCCTCATCAATTGAGTCTTCTCATCATCTCAAACACACTCTCAATCTAGACATCTAAACAATAATCACATCTACTCTTCCAATCTTCCTCCATTAATTCTACCTTCCTCTTCAAAATGCTTGCTCAAACCATCTTCTCCATCCTCGCCATCGCCACTACTGGCCTTGCTGCTCCTGTCGAGCCCCGCAGCGACGACTACTTCGGCCCAGCTGAAATCCACACCTACAACATCAACAACGGAGCAATTTACGACACAGACGAAGGTCGCGTGACCAAGGCCCCCGGCAACGGCGGTAACGACATCACAACCCTCCTCACATTCAAGTACCCAGAAGCAGCCAGGGGCAAGAAATGCCAATTCGCTTTCTACCTCGCTCCCGGGGAGAACGTCATCGGTAGCAAGAAGCTTGATCTCTACTCCAGCCTTGCACCCGCTCCTGGACCTCGTGCCGGCTGGGGTCCCGGTAACCAGCGCAATGTCCACTTGGGACGTATGGATGTCAAGGTTGGCGGTTTCGCGACCTGGGAGGCTACTTATGGTCCGTACATGACCCAGAAGACGGATTGCAAGAAGCCTGGTACTGTTGAGGGGCTTGAGCTTGTTGGTGTCTACGATCTTGATGGTATCTACTGGAACCCGGCTAAGTCTGGCCCTCGTATTGTTATCAGCTAGAGCGGTGGAGTCACTAGTCTTTGTTGGTGCTTCAGTTCGTCTGTATATATTCTTTAACGCTAGACGATAGCGTGTCTGTTTTCTCGGGATTTTGAGTTATTTTAGGATTGGAACTTTGTATGCAAATCACAATATCAGTACACTTCTCCTATTATTGCCCAAAATCGCTTTTGCATGTCTGATGTAATCAGTCAAAGACCCCCAATTGCTATACGACCACGGCAGTAAACTACCGGAAACAGCAATCGCCGAATCATGTTATGTTGCCCAGCCGGTAGCCGAGCTGCAGTCATGCTTCTTCCTTTCAGAGGAACATGACCCTTTTTCTGACACCGTCGTGACTCGTAACCATCGTCGTAATCACTTACAGCATTCGAATCCTACAAACTCCTTCAGCTCATGTCAATATCACTTGGCATTGTTTGGTCTCATATATCCGTACCAATACGAACCTGCTGACATTCGTTCCCCACAGAACTCAGCCCTCGCGTGCCCACAATATGATCTGACGCAGGGACAAGGACAAGGGGCTGTCGTACAAAACGGTCAGACACCACTTCAGAGCGGAAATAGTGCCGGCTGAGTGGAGAATCATGGCGTTTCGGCCCGTGGAAACTTGCTGTCAGAGGCTTTGATTTGCCAACGCCTGGTTCTAATTTCATGTTGTCAGCGGCGGTGCTGCTCCCTTGCGGGAAAGCATGTGACAGGGGGGGTTGATGGAGACGGGCCTTGGTGTAACGTTAACTCAGGGACGATTTTACGGTTCGACCTTACAGATGAAAGCTTGTCTTTGCCCTCCTGGGCTGAATCTGGAGAACGCAGCCATCGTGACATGACCCCTGATTATGCATTTATCGTCTGTCACTGCACAAGAATCGCGTGATTTATGGAAGACGTTTCTCGTATTAAAAATCTCTATCTATATGCATATAACTAACGCTTAAACGACTAAATGGTTGAGCGGGTACGTATGTCGACTCGCATCTAAGAAATTGGCTCCTATCTCATTGTGAAATCCTGCATGTAACCGACTCACGAAAGCCTCGAGAATCAGTCGTTGGAGATCCTTTGCAGGGTCATCCTTGCGGAACCAATGGTGACGGATGAAGACTCCGCCACACGTCTTGTCTCCAATATACGGAGCGCCATTCCCATCCATGCATGGTATCGTGCCAATCTCCTGGGACTGGTTATAGCTGTATCGTACGTAATTGGAGAATGCGGCTTGCTCGTGTGCCCAGTCATTGGCCCATCGCGCACAGCCCTTGTATTTCTTCTCGCTTGGACAGTGCTCCCAGTCATCGAAGAGTTCTTGTGTTTTGTTGCTCTGCTGGGCGATCATGAAGCCAGTGTTTTGCGAGACCTTGCCCTTTTCGTCGCGGTTTCGTGCAGAATCGCCGGGATCGTTTGCTAGCGCAATAAGGGTCTTGTCCGTGATGTTCCATAGCTTCATCAACCATTCGAAAGGTACATGGGGGTACATGAATTCTGCGTCGGCGTCGAGGAAAACAACGAAATCGTGGCTCTTGAGCGCTTCTCGGATCACTGGGACCTTGACCCATGTCTGATGTCGCTTAGGATAATCGGGGGCGCGGACAAATTTGTAGTCATAGCCATGAATCATCGCTAAAGTCTGTTAGCCGAGCATTCTTCTCCGCGCCGCGAAACAAGAACATACCATAGAGATAATGGTTCATAATTCCACCAGTTCGTCCCTTCATTTCCTTGTAATCCAGCGCCGAGTCATTCATCACAGCGCCGGGTCCCTTGTCCAATCGAGTGTCAACATCCAAAATGAGGAGTTTCTTGCCAAGTGGCTTCGACCAGTTTTCGTTCTCCTTGGGCACCTCGTAGAGGTACCCCTCGTCGGTGATAAAGCTTGTCGCATTAATGTCGAGAAGAAAGGGCTTCCATAGATCGTGCATTAAATCCGACGTGTGCGACGCGAGCTTCACTTGATGCGGGTTTGACCTTCTTGTTGTTCTGCAAGCGGATTGTTATTAGCGACATTTGGCTGGAATGCTGGGTGACATTTTGGCCACCGACGCGACTTACCGGTACGACAGAAGGCTGGGAGGTTCGAAATAAAATCCCCAAGTATGTGTTATCAATCCAAAGATGACCAGAATGCCCATGGCCAGGAGGACGCCCTTCTGCCTGCTTGCGCGTGGCAGTAGCAGCTTGGCCATGTGTGTGAGGTTTGCGGTCTTCATCTCGACGGCGAGATTGCAATTCGTACGTGTCACCTCGCTTGGAAATAGACACAGTTCATGAGGTAGAGAAAAAAGAAGCCTCGGGCAATTCCGCTTTTGAGTTTTGGTGGATGGAGGGGGAAACAAAATTTAAGCCCTTGTTGTTGAAGAAACGCCTGATGATGTTTAAAAAAAGACACGAGAAGACACGAGAGGAGGAGGAGAAGGGAGGGAGGG